TTAGCTCCACTCCGCCGGTTCTGTACTCGACGGGACTTTCGCAACTATGAGGCCATTTACATACAAATGCCCGTTAGCAATGGACATTCCCGCGAGCCCCTCTCGACATCGGTATCGTCGTATCGTTTCGCCTCTCTTTTCCGCCTGTTCTCGCCGACCCTCCTTTTCGAGCGCTCGTTCTGCTTACAAAAGCTCCGGTAATTAGGTAGGTATCACGCTTGGACGTTTCCGGAGAGAAAGAGAAAGAGAGAGAGAGAGAAGCTTTTACTTTCGCTTCCCCGGAAAGTCAATGATAGAGGCAAACCACCGTAAAAAGAGCCGCGTTGATCAAGGTCGACCGCCGGTTTAATAGATTGGAAGAATGTAACGCAGGAGGCGTTTGGCGGGCTGACTGGTGGCTGAAGTTAAACTAAATCGCCGAATCTAATATCATCGATCACACGGATGCACAGCCGAGTTGAAATTTTTAATTCCACATTGGATCTTCGAGTGGAGAAAATCGAAACAAGTTCCCGTTTGTGGTGCAATAAGAGTCCCTTTAATGCTACAAAAAGAAATTGGTTCTCCAAAACCGAAATTTTAGTCCCGCATTATCTCCCACCAGCATTCCACCAGTATCAAATCAATATTGGCATCTGATATTGTTCACTAAAAATACTGAACCAGTACCTCGCCAGTAGTTATGTTATACTTGGCTGGCCATACTTCCTCTCCTCTCGCGTGCTGAAAATCGCGTTAACGTCAAGGACGTCGCGACAGAATTCAAACGCTCCGACGTAACCGTACGTCGATCCCTTTCCAAGACTTACCCCAAGCTCTTAATTGAATTTCCGGAGGTGCAGTTCGACGGGAAAAGCCACTTGCTTTCGACGTCGTGAAATAATCGCGAATAATCAAAGTCGCAGGCGGGAGAGGAGGACCGCGCCAGGAGGTGGCGCACTAGGTGGCAGACGGAGAAGAGGAGGTGCGCGCACGTTCCCGCCGATATTGACGCCGGATTTATGAAGACTCGCTAGGGTCACGTATCTCGCGCGCGCCCTTTCACGCGGGGGGGGAGGGGGGCCCGCAGGCCGGCCCCATATATGATCTGACCCGGTTCATTTTTCACCGGGTTCCTCGGCCGTAGTAGTAGTAATCGTAGTAATAGCGTTGGTAGTAGTAGATCGTCCCCGGCACGAAATCGGGTCGTCACGATTACCGCTCCCGGCTCTCGATAAGACGTAAAGGCTACGTTTTCCATCAGTACCGCGCGAAATACGAGAGGCAAGAGACATAGAAAGAGAGAGAGAGAGGAGGGGGAGAAGGTGAGAAAGAGAAAACGGCGTCAGGAAAAGCCGAGGTGGAAAGTGAGAGAGAGAGGAAAGCGAAATTGCGAATGCCTGCCGTGGAGCAGCTACCCAAGTGCGGGCGAATGTCTGAGCGATACGTGCTCGCGCGTTCCGTCACCGATATTTCGACTTCGCTGGAAGATTTGAGGGAAACTGAAGGAAATGCTGCGCCCCGGCCGCTCGCTGCCCGTCCCGCGTCGGCTGGCTGTAAAAATGAAAGCGCGAGAGTGGCAAGCGGTGCACGTCGTTACAATGTACGAGGAATATATCGACAGGCGTCGCGCGGAACGGCAGCGTCTGTGCAACACGGCGAAGCGGTGCCGAGGACGTAAGGAAAATTGCGATTTCTTAAATGAGGTCTCGGGCCGAGAGACGTTGTCGCCCGGAATTTGCTGTACGTGTTATTCGGTACAGGTGAGTGGTACCTGTCGCCGTCGTCGTCGCGATGCAAAACGCGCTCGAAACGAGCAGGTTGTAGTATTGTTGCGAGGTCGTTATCGCGGAAACGCTCATCAGCGAAGATCTCGCAATGAGGAAGAACAATATCGATGGACGAATGAGAGCGCAGAAAATTTCTAGCAGATTTGTGGGACCCTGAAACTTGACGAGAAAGAAGCGAGGGAATAACGCTTCACGATTTATGTATTAATTACCACTCGCCGAGTCGTTAATTTCCGTGGCGGTGCGTTATTGTACCGTCGTATTGGTATCTTTGTAGGAGAAGAAGAGAAGAGGGAAAATACGGGAAAGCGCGTGCCGCGAACGCGCGCGAGAAAGTTGCTCGGCGCACTTCGTCGCGGCCGCTAATTGCTAATTACTGCGTAGCAAGCCGATCGCAACGATGCGCGTTCGATACGCGCGTCTCTTCCGCTCTCGTAAATGCGCACAGATGATCGATCAGAAAATGCCAACGCGCATATTTTGCGGCACGTCACGCTGGGCCGCGCTAAAACCGGTGCTTTTAAGCCGCACTCAAGCGTTGAGTCGCGCGTGTTCGCCGAGCGCGTTATTTTAATTCAGCGCTCTCCCCACATTGTTATCCGGCAGCGCGCGGTGTCCGATTTCCACGTGCATCTTTTAATTATTTTCCGCGTTAATACGTAAAAATACGAAGGAATAATTCACTATCGCGAGGTAGTGCGCCGGAAAATATATGCGCGTATAGCGTATGGGGAAAAGAGAGAAATAGAAAGAGAGAGAGAGAGAGAGAGAGAGAGAGAAAGCTATGGGATTTAAAATACATTTTTCGCTTTTTCACTGTTTCTCCATTTGTCTCTCTATTTTTTTTAATTTCCAACATTAAATGTCTTGGTAACTAAAGCTTCGAATTAAAATTCTGTCAAAGTGAAGTCCAGTTGAAGCGATGTAAAGAACAAAAATGCGAGAAATAAGCGCGCGCCTCTGAAACTTCATTCACGGCGAATAAAGAAAAGTGATGTTTCTGTGGCGTTACCGTGTTTATAAAATTCCACGACAATTCATAACCCCCTGATGATTGGATGTAACATGTAGCGACACTCGTGCACGGAACGTTTTATCAGAACGTCGGGAACAGAGGCGACGAGGCGTGAAATTTCGAAGATTTACCGATGCTTTTAAAGGAGATTAACACATTAACGGCGGGCGATATTTTGTGTGATCATAAAAACTTTAAGGTACAGTCGAGCTAAATTGTTTTACTACGACTCCCGCCTTTAAGCCGCAGTCGAGTTAAATCGTAGTACTACGACTCCCGCCCTTAATGTGTTAACAGTCGCGCGCGATAAATGTCAAGACCCGGCGCGTAAGAAGTTCTCGCCATCGCGCTTTTTCAACGTGATTAAAAATCGCCCCCCAGGCTCCTTCGACACGCGAATCAAATCGCAGGCCCCGTTTCGCGCGCGGTCGCGTTTCGTATTATCAGTCAGATATCCCGATATTCGGCGAAAGCTCTCGCGGGAGGCAACTCTTCGTTCGTCGCGGAAGCTACGCCCATTAAAGAGATGAGATTTCACCGAAGACTGAGTCCCCCCCCCCCCCCCCCNCCCGTTACTCCAGCTTCTCTTTCTCTTGCCTCGCACTGGGCAAACCCTTTATGCCTACGATTCCGTTCTGTGTGCATCGCGCGCGCGCGCGTGCAATCTTTTTCGCGTCCCTTTTTACCTGTCTCCTTTTTATTTCGCCGACGAGAAAGCCGCGAGCGGGATTAAATACCCGCGTTAATCCGATTCGCTGTAAATGTTTTCGAGCGCGACCATCTCCCGGCCTCCTCTCCCCGTTTTCCCACCGCGTTCGCCGTCTCTCTTTCTCTCATCGGACTTTTTTGTCGAGAGGCTTTCTCGATGCGAGCTCGCTGAGACGCCTCGCACACGGAGCTTACATTTACGGGCGTGTATGCGCGCGGTTTGAAGCTCCACGTAGCAGAGGGTTGCACGATAACGTCATCGTGAGCGGAGGGGAGGAATAAGTTTGCAGGTTGGAAACGTCTCACTCACATATTATTACTCTCTCTTCTCCTCTCCACCCTCCTATATCTACTTTCTCACTCTCTCTCTCTCTCTTACTCTCCACCCTGTAATCTCGGTCGCCGTGCTAAATTTATTCATAGCCCGGCTAATCCCGTTACGGCGTATTTTACTTACCGCGAGGGCGGCAGCCGAGCAAACGTCCTCGCCGCTTTTCTAAACACACGGTATATCGGTGGAACCGATTCGACTATGATGATACAGACTTTTGCCCCAATTTTATAGCTGTCACACGTGTCGCGCAATGTTAAGTTTTTGAATCAACTTGTGCGAAAATGACCCTGAGAATATCCCTCCGGCTAAAAAGACACGGCAAATCTGAACATAGTCGGAATTTGAAGGATTCACAGAGATTCGTGTCTCACAGATGCTGAGAAATGAAATATAAACTGATTCTAGCGCTGCCAACCAGTCACCGGAACAAAAAAATAGTGACTACTTCTTGGCATGAAATATGAGAAAAAGTGATCTCTCAAGACATCAAAATAACGACCAAAAATGACATTTTTTGTCAAATTCTGAGAGTAACTAAAGTAATGTAGGTAAAAAATTAACATTTATTTTTACCTTTAAGGTCTCGGATTTACCTTTGGATAACTTAATATATAGCAAATTCTTTTCGTAATACGGTTTGAAAATTCATAGCAACGAAAGATCAAGAACATGGACTATACAAAATATGTACGCTTTCGGAGCAGTTTTATTAAGGCAGACGCGTTAAAACAAAACAAAACGAAATAGATATATATATAGAACGCCCATATTTTATAAAATTAATGACACCTCAAGAAAAAAGTAACAAAAGAAGTCCATTTTGGATGATAGTAAATTTTTCATTCAAGAAAAAATGACAAAAGGTAACCTAAGTAACTGGATAGCAGCGCTATGATTCTCTCAGATCTTGACAAGCGAGTTAAGACCTCTGCTCTTCTAGACTACCCTTCCAAGCCCATCAATATCGGAAACATCGACTCGCACTGCGCATTCCATATGTGAGGCGAAATCTCATATAATATTCTTAATACGATTGCGGTATGCGCATTCAAGACGCGTCCGAAGTTTTTCGCAGGCGGAAGTCGCGTCAGTCGAGCTCGTTGTCCGCGTTCCCAACTGCGCCGCGAACGGCCTGAATCCAATTGAAACCGGAATCGCGCATAACTTTACTCACCGTGGAGCTAACTCCCGATGACGTCACTGCATCCAATTCGTGTCGAACGTAATCCCTGCAACACACACAGAGAGGAGGCGAATGTTAGTCGGATCGTCGGAAATAGAAGCGACGACGGAGTCGAGTGGACTACGGCGAGAATGGTAGACTACAGTATACTCTCCTAGACTGCGATGCGAGCACGTGATAAACGAGGCCAAGAAATTCGACGGCAAGCTCGCGATCTCTGTTTTGCGTGGGAAAGGGAAACCAAAAGCAACAATTTCACCTCGACCAATCAGCGCGACCGAGCGACTCTGCAAATTCCTACGTAATGATAACGAATGTTATCCAAATATTACTCACGCCTGCTTGATCACTTATATTTTTGCGACATTCTCGTAACCTCGGTAATGTCGCAGGGCCGGCATTTAATGATCGGTGAAGTCATTGCCCAGAGAAATAAAAAGATAAGGTAAATGTATTACCGGAGATTACGGCGATAGTTGCATGTTCAACCTGACGCATTTAAACTAATACAATAAACATTAACGCCCATAACACCAAGCAAACTCAGGTATCAATGACCATTGGTGTGCATAATACCTAGCAAACTCAGCCATCAATGACCATTAGTGTCCACAATACCTGGCAAACTCGATTATCACATCTCCATTAGACGTACATTACTCTGATCGAAAATTTCAACCATTCGGCAAGGTCAGCCGTCGTTTCCTCTTCCCCTAACCCCATCATATCTGTTTCTCTATCTTTCTCCCGGTTATCCGAGAGGATAGGAAGACAGTGTATTCCGTAAGCCTGCATACGCCAGGTGTCAACCCGCGGCGGGACGCGAGATCTCGTCGCGAGAACGACGACGAGGCGGCCCTGACACGTCCTGCCGTCTACACACGCGTCTACATATGTATGCAAGCGCAGCGATTTGCGCGATAACGTAAACTCGCTTGTCAAAGGACCCACCGAGCGTAACTGCGCGCCGGGAGGGG